GCTAGGTATGTCTGCTGAGTATGTGAAATCAGTGACTTGGGACTACAGCATGCAGCTGCCTGAGAGAGGAGCATATCAATCACCCAGTGAGGTCTGCAGTAGTGCAGTGGTCTAGATGCTCTAGACACTGTTTATCAATTCATTCAGTAAGCTGAATAACTAGACACTTTACCCATCACATCCTCCTTAGACTAATCTAGGCCATCTGTCATGTGTTCCTTTAACACTCTGTTGCCCTATAAGTTTACTCAATGCATTTCAATGTTGTTTAACTGCCTATCTTCCCCATCAACTCTAAGGATGAGTAGGTCCATGATTGTCTTGTTTGCGCCACATCCCCAGAATCTATCACAGTGCCAGACACAGGATATATATGCAATGAATATTCTATGAAAAACATTGGTCGAGCATGGTGACACAGTCCTATAATTCAGCTACTTGGGAGACAGAGGCAGGAGGATCACAAGTTCTAGGCCAGCACAGGCAATTTAGTGAGACCACACCCTGAGGATGTGGCTCAGAGGTAAAGCACCCCTGAGTTCAATTCCTGATAGTGTCCACATGAACACACACACACACACACACACACACACACACAGAAAGAGATGGAGAGAAAAAGAGGTTTATTAAAAGACACTGTACTTGAAAGGAAAGCGAAGAACTGGGAGACAGGTGAGTGAGAAATGAAAGACTGAGACTATGCAGAGAGTTTATTTGTCAGAGCTGACAAATAAAGGCACATCTCTTTACAGATGGAAAGAGGCAACACAGGCTTAGGCTCTGGAACTTTTATGGGGCAGGCTCAGGGATTAGAGCTGGGCAGGCCCTAATGTGGGTGGTTAAGATCAGGGTTGATATAAGGGAGTGGTGAGCCTTTCTCAGAAAGGCCCTTGGGCGGGAAAGCAAAACTTTTTCTTAAAATGGTGACTGTCACTTAAGATGGCCATCCAGATGCTAAGCAAGGACCTTACAGTACTAAGCCAGGAGCTGGAACAGATTGGAAGATAAAATTAGAACTCACTGCCTGTGGAAAAACAATGTAAACAGGAATGGAACCAAAAGTTGTGAGGTCAGAAGCTTGTGCAAAGTAGAAAGAAGCATTTAAGAATATAAAATTATAAACACAAAGTACTTTGTCTTGGAAGAGGTTCACGCGACTGAACGGACTTGAAGCTTAAGCTTCACTATATTCATTGCAAATGTATGATAAGTGGTGATAAATGAACTAATGTGCCAATCACTGTGGAATTTCTGAAGAATGATCAGAGATCTCAGCAAGGGAAAATCCTTTCAAAGGATTTATCTTTTCAAAGAAGAGATAAATCCTGATCTTGATCTTATAAATAGAAACAAAGGAAAGAGATTTCAGATTTTAAAAAAAGGACATGCTAAATCACATAGGTGAGAGAGAGGCAATTTACCTGTGGAACAGTGAGAAGTACTATTTGACTGGTATGGAACTGGGTGAAGAAAGTTTAGGATGGTGGTTCTCAAAGTATGATTCCTGGCCAGCAGTACCAACATTTCTTGGGAACTTGCCAAGTTGCAGTTGCTCAGGCCCTAGTCCAGACTTACCCATAGAAAAACTCAGGATAAAACACAAAAATTTATATTAAAACAGAGTCTCAAAATTTTTCAATTCTTTTTTTTTTTTTTTTTTTTTTTGATGCCAGGGATTGAATCCAGGGGCACTTAAGCACTAAGCCACATCCCCAACACTTTTTATTTTTTATTTGGAAACAGGATTTCACTAAGTTACTTAGGGCATCACTACATTGCTGAGGCTGGCCTTGAACTTGTGATCCTCCTGCCTCAGCCTCCCAAACCACTGGGATTACAGGTATAGGCCAGAGTGCCAAACTCAATTCTAATGCATTTTAAAGTGTGAAAAACAATGCCTTAGATTACTTGGGCATCAGATGAAGTTATTTTATTTCTCACAAATTTAACTTTGGACTGTTATATAAGATAGCCAGAAATAAGAATAAAAGAATTATGATAGAGAGAGAAAAATAATAATTTTATTTCATACCCCCAAATAAATTACAAATAAAGAGCTAAAGTAGAGGATCTGACCAGAACTTTCATGTAAGAATTTATTGTCTCAGCATAAAGCCAATAATAGGACCTATAAAGAAAAATATTAGTAGGCTTGATTTCATAATAACTGGAGAACTAACAATACTTAAAAGTAAAAACAAACTAAAAAGAAATATACATATCACCTATCAATGGTAAAAGGCCAAGATTATTAATTTTAAAAAATATAAACAACATGTTTTAACAAAATAGGAAAAGGCCATTCACTGAAAACTCATGAATGACAAATAGCCAATAAACACCTGAAAAAAAGAATTTAATTTCAAACAAAAATACATATTAAAATGGAACACTACATTTTACTTACTAAATCAGCAAAGCATTTTTTGAAGATGGAAGCAACTTAAGTGTCCACTACTTAACTGTATGATCCCTTGTAGTAGTGCAAAGTGCTACTAACATTTTAATAGCATAAGGAACACTCAAACTACATTTTTGAAAATGTTAAAAAACAACATAAACAATAATATTCTAATTTTGAGAAAACGTGTGGAGGGATAAAAATAATGGGAAGATATAGAGCAAAACATTACCATTGATTAGCTCAGAGTTATGGGATAACATTTTTCTTTTGTTCTTCATACTTTTTTACTGTCTCCATTATTTTAAAAACATGCATCCCTTTTCTTTTCTTTCTTTCCCTTTTTTTTTTCTCCCATGTATCCCTTTTCTAATCAGGAAAATATTAAGCTATTCTATAATGTGGCAAAAAATTAGAGAGATGAGGATTAAATATTCCTAAATCAAAACTATAATAGAATTTAGTAAACTATAAGTTGGTATTTTGAGATTTCAAAGTTTCACTCAAGGGCTGGGGATGTGGCTCAAGGGGTAGTGCGCTCGCCTGGCATGCGTGCGGCCTGGGTTAGATCCTCAGCACCACATACAAACAAAGATGTTGTGTCCGCCCATAACTAAAAAATAAATATTAAAAAAATTCTCTCTCTTTCTCTCTCTCTCTTTAAAAACAAAACAAAGTTTCACTCAAGTTGCCACCCTCCTTTGGACGGGGAGGTGGGGGAGGAGAGGAAAAGGAAGAACTTACAATGAAACTGTAAATATACATAGTCAAGCTACTCAAAGAACTTTAAATTGCCTTTGATTTGTGATTATGTTACAAGACATCTAAACATTGTAATTCTCTTCTAAGTGGCAGTGTGAGAATTTTTCAAAATAATGCACTGGGTAGGAGAGGGTAAGATGTGTGTTTAACTACAAAACGTTTTGGAATAAAACTTCATCCTAGAATGCAGACTGACACAAGACTACCCAGCGAGCAAAAATAACTAAAGATGGTCGCATGACACCCTCTTGTGGCTTCCACTATATCTAGATCAGGAAACAACAGAACCAGCAGAGAAGGAAGGGAAGGATATAGGTGGTTCTTTATAAATTTATGTATCAATCGCGTAAGGATTCCCTGTTCTGTGCCAGGGACAAACTATACTACAAAACAGCTTTAAGTCTCTTCGTACTTTATCCAAGTCATACCAACATTCGTGAACATTCGTTTATTTGAACTGAATACACACAAAGATTATGAGGTCATAAAAATTAAGCCTCACCAACAAGTAGTGTCTCTTCTAAATACCATATAGCTTTATTTCCTTAGAGAGGGTGAAGGAATGGGGTAAGGTCTGTTTCCTCCTTTCCAGAGGTTCATTGGTTAATTAGCACATGCGTATCAGAAAAAGCACAACAGAAGTAAATTAAAAATCATAAATTGCTGACATGACTTTCCAAGTGACCTTGGACAAAGATTATTATATATGGACCTCATTCATTCATTTCATAATTATTTGAACCCTGGGTGCTTTGTCTATAAAAATAAAGTGTCAATCTCTCACAAGCTAAATTTTCTAATTTGTAAATTGATACTAATTACTTCAACCTGTTGTCAAAAGGATTAGGGGCTGGGGGTAAAGCTCAGTGGTAGTGTTTTGTATGCACCAAGACCTGGCTTCCATTCTCAGTATGAGGGCTGAGGGGGATTCAACATGATCACACTTAAAAGTTGCTTTCTTTCTTGATTTTTCTCTGTGATGGTGTTGGGGCTCGAACCTCAGGCCTCGCGCTTGCAAAGTACACACTTCACCCCTGAGCTGTATTCTCAGCCCTACAGGTCATTTAAAAAAACGTGTTCATAAATTTATTTATGCTCGTTCAATTTAATCCTTTCATTAGCTGCTCAAGGAACCTCTAGGTCGGAAAAGGAGTGAAATAATCTAATCCAGCACTCTATATAATTTCACGTTCATTCCAAGATTTCTGGAGCCAACGAAACGGGCTGAAGCCTAACAGCCACTCAAGATCTTAACAAGTGTCACCTCTCCCTGTGGACACGATCCTAGCCCGGTGTGGTTCTTCGGTGGTGCCTCGGTAAAACCATGACGCGGCCTTGCCCTTTTTGTCGCCTACAGGGTGCTGGCATGCTTTAGGACTGAAATGCCATCTGCCTTGCCTAACCTGGGCAAGATCAGTCGCGTTACCGCCCTTGAGAGAGCACTGTCGCAAGGGGGACTGCTTGCACGCCGTGCTTCTGCGGTTCCTTGCACCGCGGGAGGGAGGACGGAGCAGCAGGGGGAAGTTCGTCCGGCCGCCTGGCTAGGAGCAGTTCTATGGGTGGAATCACTCGCTGCGTTTCCTCGGGAGGGGCGGTACCTCGCCCGGAAGGGGCCTGCGGCGGCGGAAAGGCGCCGGCAGGGGGCGCGGGCCTCCGGGCCACCCCCGGGGTGGAGGCCGGTGGTCCCTCCCAGGCCGAGTGTGCGGCGGGGCAGTGCACCCGCCCCCCCACCCTCCATCACCTCGTCACCTCCCCGCCCTCTCCTCTGGCCCCCGAGGTGAGCGGCGCAGGCGCGGAGCGTGGTGGTGAGTGCGGCCGCGCAGCCTGGGCCTGGGGCCTAGCCGGCTGGGCTTGGGGCGCGCGGGAGGGAGAGGGCTGGTCCTGACAGAGCGCCCTGGAGCGCGAGGGCCTGAGCGGCGTCGCCCGCCGCCTGCGGCCCTCTCTGCCTGCGCTCGGCCGCAGCCACCTCATCTGTGCCTGGGCCGGCTGGGGCCCGGGGAAACGGTGAGTGTGAGGGAGGAGCGGACGGGCTGGGCGCTGGACTGCTGCAGGGGACGCCGGCGTGCGGGCGCATCTTCCAACCGGAGAGGGCAGGAAGGGCCGGAGGCTTCCTCAAACTGAAACCCTGCCTTCGTTTAAGGCGGGATGGCGTCCCCCTCCCCCACCCCCAAAGCAGGTCCTGACTGGCCGAGGACGCTGCGGCCCCCCGCGCCTCTTCCTTCGGGGCGCCCTTGGGGTCGTGGTTAGGAGTTCCCCAGCGCCAGCCGCTAGTGGCTGGGCCGGGTCGAGGCGGGCGCGTGGCGCTCGGTGGAGGCTGCGGGGGCCGAGGATTCTTGCCCGGCCCCTCGGACGGGCATGTGTTTTGCGGCGTGGTGCCACGCTGGCCCTCCCGCCCTGCCCGGCAGCTCCGTGACCCTCCGGCGGCGCATCTTGGTGCTCCCGTCGGTCCCGGCGCCCAGTCTCCCAGAGCTGCCCAGACCCACCCGTTCGGGTGCTTAAGCCCCCTCCCGCCACCCTCTCTGGCTTTCTTTGAAGTGCAGCCTAGGGACTGTAAATTAAGCAGTTTATCTCCTTACAAAGAGATATCGATTGTGCTAGAGTATTTCAGTAGAGACTGAGTCCAAGTTGAATATATAGTGGACTCTAGTTCATACTCTCCTGAAACATTTTGTTTCAATTTAAAAAAAAAAATCTAGAAAATATATACTTATTTTTATGAAGATAAAAAGGAAAGTTTAGCTCTTAAAACTTGTTTAAAATGTAGCTTCTTATTGTAAAGATGTCTTATAGCATTTAGCAAGAAAGACTTTTGCATTGCACAAAAGGCACAGTATGAGAACTGTTTTTTGTATATAGACATTCTTGTTGAAAAAAATGACGGGTGAAAAGATGCTAACTTGTATTGCTAAAATACTTAAAAAAAAAATGTTTCTTATGGCATGCCCCCCTTTTGTGAATGTATACCATATCATAGAAAGAAGTGTAGGTGTACATACCAAAATGTTAATAGTGGTTTTTCCAGGTGAATGGATTGTAGGTGATTTGCTTTTTTTAGTAATTTTAATTTTCCCGCGGGGAAACATTATGTATAGTTTGTACTTAAGTGGGGAGAGGGGAACGAGTGGTAAGTTGCATGTGATTCAAAATATTTGTGATAGGAGGAGGATTGGTGAGCAAATATTTGTTTTGGTACTGACACTGAACCCAGGGATGCTCTACCACTGAGTTACAGCCCCAGCCCTTTAAAAAAATTATTTTTTTTTTTTTTTAATTTGGAGAAAAGGTAAATCGCTAAATTGCTGAGGCTGGCTTTGATTTTATGCTTCTCCTTCCTCAGTCTCCCCAGTGGCTGGGATTATAGGTGTGTTCCGCCAAACCTGTTTTAGTGAATAAATGTTTATATTGATAGCTTTGAATAAAAAAAAATCAAATTTCTTCATCAAGATAATTATGCATACAAAAACTTTTTGTTGTTTTAGAGTGTATAGAATATGAATTCTGAAGCTTTTGGCTATATAAATTCTCGAAGTGTATAAAAGGTTTTAGGGATAAGTCTTGGAATTTTAGCTTATTATATAAAGATGAAAATAGCCTTTTTGATATTTGGATGCATTGGATTGGGCTGGAAACTCAAAAGAATGCTCTTTAGGTTGTTGGGTGGGCATTTTATATATGCTGGGTGAGGCATTTATATCATTTCTGTAAAATTCATGTTTGTCAGTTTTTTTTAGGTGACGGTCTTCCCCTCCTTACAATTGTTGGCCGAGAAAGAACTGGAAACAAGATGTAACTTGGTGGTGGCAGTGCTTAGCCATGAAGATGTACCCACATACAGTTAGAGTTATTCAATGTCCAGGAATCAGAAGACATGTATTTGCATCTCTGGTTTTGCCATTTCTTAGTTGACTTGACTTTCACTGAGTATGTTTCTTCATCAGTAAAATTGAGGTGGGTTGAACAGTAAGCCTCTCAGTGTACATCACAGAATTTTTAAAAAGACAATCTAGAATAAGGGTTAGGAAAATCCTTAATAAACTGAAGTAATATATTACTATATGATTGCATCTAGTGCTGATATACCCAGAACTTAGTAAAGCAGCAAAAATAGTATGTGCCCCTCAATTCTTTATCACTAGAAATGAGAAAATCACCTTGGTGTTAAGAAAAACAGCACATGAGACTGGATTTCGGTTTCTGGCATTCCCTCCTTGCCCATGCTTCTGTGGACAGGCACTCTTCTGAAATGAGGGGGTAGTTCTGATTTAAACACTAATCTACTGGAACTGGATTGGTGACTTTATCTCCCTATTTGTTTCCAACACTAAATAAAGGAATTGAAGACTTTGTTTCTAAATTGGTTAGATGTGGCTAGGGATGTAGCTCGGTGGTAGAGCAACCTAAGGCCCTGGGTTTATTCCCCAGGACTAAAAAAAAAATTTTTTTTTCTAATAAAATTAGTTAGACTTATATTCAAATCCCAACCTCACTACTTAGTAGCCAACTTTGATTAATCAATAACAAGGAGTAAATAATAATTTGGGGAGGGTGTTATGGATTTTGCGTAACAGGATTAAATGAAATAACAGGTTCACAGTTTGCTGTATGGCTGGTTAAGAACCTTGACCATTTCAGGTCTGTGATTCAGTATTTGTTTTCTCTGTTTACTTCCCATTCAGCTGAATAGATTAAAATATTAATGCAGATTTATTTCTATTTTGAGGTCATTCATAGCTATAACTTTAGAAGGTAAAGTCAAAGGAATATGAAAAATTTATATAAATAATCACATCAGTATATACAATTTTTAGTGTTTAGTAAAATACACTCAAAAGAGTATTATGCTTGAATTATTTTTTTATACTTTTCTAGTTAATTAAATATCTGGAATAATTGTAGTTTTGAATCTCAGAAATGAGCCACACTTTTGCTTATATGACTTTTGTCATGTTTAACTTACAGGTATTTTTTTTTTACCACCTGTGGAAACTTTGTAATTCATTTTTCCTCACTGAAATATTAAGAATTATACCAAGTAAGTGGAAAGTACTGAAACTAATTTTATAACTGTTCATGTGGGAGCCAGGCATGGTGGTGTACACCTATAATCCCAGCACCTTGGGAGGCTGAGGCAGGAGGAAGGGGATTTCAAGGCCAGCTTGGGCAAGTTAGTGAGAACCTGTGTCAAAATAAAAAATGAAAAGGACTAGGTATTGCTCAATTGTAGAGTCCCCCTGGTTTTATCTCCAGTACCACAAAAAAACAAAAACAGTTGATGGTAAATTAATCATACAATGGTTGCCACACCTTTTCTGACTCAGTAGAATAGCAAATGTGATTTTATCAATAAGTTAAGGATTTTTTTTTCTTAAAAATTATTTATATTCTGAGGTTCTATGTGATGCATATTTTTCTGGAAGCTGTGAGTCAATACAGAGGTGGTAACAATATATTTTTTAGTGTATCCACCTTTAGCTTGAAATCTGAATAAAAATATTCCCAATTGCAGGAAATGTGATTTGATAGCATAATGGGCTTTTTAAAATAAAAATTTTAAGCATAAGTTTTATTATAGTTATCCAATTCTTATCATTACAATATTTGAAAAAGAATTTCTCCATCTTAGTTAGAAAGAATGCAGAAATCAGTGTCCTGTCTCTAAGCTAAATAGGAAAAGTAATCCAAAATATAAACAGAGACATTGTATAGCATTTCTCGTACAAGATTTATTTTCATGTGGCACACACATTTCTTAGTTCAATTCTTTGGTTAGAAATAATTCTTATTACAACATTAACAATTATTTGTGATATTTATTAAATGTTTTTACTTTTTAGATTGAAAAGATATGAATGAGTATCCTAAAAAAAGAAAAAGGAAGACTTTACACCCTTCTCGTTATTCAGGTTAGTGTATAAGTTAATTAATTTAAAGGTGAGTGTGTATATTTTCGAAGAAATTGTATTCTTATCCATTTTCTCAAATGATTAGATAAGACTTAAATATCTGATCAATTTTTAGGTCAGATAAATTTTAAATTCTCTGAATATATATTCCTTATTGTCTACCATGTGCTAGAGACAGACACGTTAGAACTTTAAAGACATTATTGTATTTAATTTTCATAATTCCATGGGTTATAGATATTTAAAATTTGTTAACCATCATTACGACTTATATAGCATAATTGAGCTTTGCCTGTCTGATTACCAAGCTGTGCTTAAGACACAATGATAATTTGAAAATATTTTGCATTACTGAGGGAACAAAACTTTATCCTATACATTCTTTTCAGAAATGTGAACTTTCAATTTGACTATGTGATTGAAGTTGGCTGTGTTGTATTGGCAATATGAAGAAGTTTTTATGGCCATTTCTGATATAGCTTACGCATACTTGAGACAGTCTCAGACATACCTGTTAGTTTACTCCATGCTCTTATTCTTCTTATCTGAGGAAATTAAGCCTGGTCTACTGCTTACTGGTGTTTCCCAGGCAAAACTTGGAAGTGATTATATTCAGAAGCTTTCATTGGACCCTTCAGGCCATTTCCCCTATGTATTATGCTTTCTTTGCCTGATGGCATACCTCTCACTGTTTTGTGCAGTTAACAAGGCATTCATTATATATTTGTATTTTTTCCCCCATGGTGCTGGGGATTGAACCCAGGGCCTTGCGCATGCAAGGCAAGCACTCTACCAACTGAGCTATATCCCAGCCCTATGTATTTGTATTTTGTGAGATTCTGATTGTAAGGAAAATTTTATCCTTATGTATTTCAAAGTTATTATATTTTAAAGTCTGTAATTTATGCTTTTCTTAAAGCTAAATGTCAGTATTAGATCTGAAATGTTAAAGTTTAAAACTGAGAAAAATACACTTTCATTATAGATGCTATATTTTTTTTTAATCATTAAAATTTGTGCCGAAGATATAGCTCAGTGGTAGAGTACTACTTACATTGTATTCACAAGGCCCTGGGTCTCGGAAGGAAGGGAGGGAGGGAGGGAGTTATCTTCGAAAATAATGTGAATTTGAATATGTTAAAGATATATGTATGTTTGAAACATTTTTAAAATTTTCTTTTATTGTTTTATATTCAGATTCCTCTGGAATAAGCAGAATTGCAGATGGATTCAATGGGATTTTTTCTGATCATTGTTACAGTGTCTGCTCTATGAGACAGCCAGACTTAAAATATTTTGACAACAAAGGTACATTTAATATTTTCCAAAATACTTATTTCTCTTTGAATTGATTTTACAGTGACTGAGTATATAAATAGCTCTATGGTAGAGCCCATGCTTAGCATGAATGAGGCCCTGGGTTTGATCCTAACACTGCTAAAAGAAAAAATAAATGCTTTTACATTTTTTTTTTCTTATTTGAAATGGTAGGTGATCTGGGTGTTGTGACACATGCCTATAATCCCAGCAACTTGGAAGGCCAAGATAGGAGGATAGTAAATTTGAGACCAGCCTCAGCAATTTAGCAAAACCCTGTCTCAAAAAAATAAAGGACTATAGGTTTAGCTTAGTGGTAGAGTGCCCCTGGGTTCAATGCCTAGTATCTCCCTCCCACACACAAAAAAGGGGGGGGGGGACATAAAATATTGAGTTAATGATTTCAAAGCAGGCAAGAGTTTGAATTTGGTATAACTTAAGAAAATGTAGTGTTTGGTATTTTTCTTTTAAGAAAGCAAGTAAGTAATTTCATTTTTTAACTTTTTTCCAGACATATGAATAAAAAACACACCTTCCTAAATCCTTTTTAATTGTGTAGGAATTGGTGGCAAAGCAGGAGTGATGTGGAGTTGGGAGCATTTATGGTGGAAGGTTAAGAACAGTGTTTCCATAGCTCTTCCACTCAGCTATACCTCTCAGTCTGAAAGGCTAATGAACAGAGGGTGAGCAAGGTCAACCTCAACAGTTATGAATCTTGTATCTCCTATTGACTCTTATTTTCTAGGCATTGAGTAGAATGATAACAACCTTTTT